TAATAATAATAATAATAATAATAATAATAATAATAATAATAATAATAATAATAATAATAATAATAATAATAATAATAATAATAATAATAATAATAATAATAATAATAATAATAATAATAATAATAATAATAATAATAATAATAATAAATATTAAACTGTTGTGTGTATTTCTGAGTGATTACTCAGAGATGAAAAGGGAAATGTTTTAGTAATTACACGCATTTACATAACTTAGAGAAAGATAAGGAGAGGAATTTCTTTGGTTTCAAGTAAGTTCATCAGAGATTTTTCCTCCAAAAATCTTAATTTCACTGTTTTTCTTACTGTGATAGTGAATAATAATGAACAGATCAATCAATCATTTCTTTTCCTTTCACTTTTCTTTTTAAGATTAGGACTGATGCAAGAATCGCTTCTTTTTCCAGTATTAAATCCATCAATTTGCTTTTTTCATCCTAATCTTCCTCTGTGTAAATCAGTTTGATGACATAAACGAATTTAACTAACCAATATTAAGTAGCATTATGAGGCTTCAGACATAAACATATGAAGTACAAAAGATTTTTGAGGGAAATAAACTGATATTTGAGAAATATGAACTGGAGCCAAATGGAATTTCTCAGTGATTTTATATTTTACATGATAATTTTAGTATAAAACAATAGTGGTAGGAGTATTACAATGATAGGCTTTTTGTCAGCATTAATCGTTTTTATTACCATTCGAAATATTGCTTTTGTTGTTCATACTGTGATGAACCCTGTTACTTTCGTTTGATTGCATGTTAGCGGGGAAACTTGTCGCAGGTGGTCGCATCATCAGTGGAGTTACAACGGTCAAAGCCTCGAGTACACGTGACGAATAGACAGGTGATACATTTTTATGCCCCAAAGTATTGAAAAGTGTTATGCTTGTTAACCTTCCAACCATTGGTCTAATTTCATGTGGCTGTAGAATACGGCGTCGTTTTTTCGGCAATTTCGATCTAGAATTTAAATTGAGGACAGTGGGTCTCATGGAATAGAAAGGGGTCATTTTTGATACTCAGTGGACGAGAAAAAATTAAAGAAATTAAAATCTTACCGGGCTTGAGCATGTGAATAAAACATTGCAAAATTGGAGACAATGACTGGCACTGGAAGTGCAATTGTTAGAACTCCCATTAATGCACAAATTGAACCGACCAGCATACCCAAATAGGTTTTTGGTACCTACAACCGATTGGATTATATTTTTTCTAAATCAATCTTATTGCCCAACTACAGTAAACAGAATTAGACAAAGTAACATTAGCGTGTAACATTAGCGCTTAATGATAGCTAACAAACTACAAACTGAGTGGAATTTTGATGAATGAAATTACTGAGATTGTACAGATCTGCTTAATAGCAAGGGGAATGAAGTAGTGTGTAGAAATATTTTAACCGGTCTTGACTTCAACATTTAATGCACCACTAGTCAACTTTCTCTTTCTTTACAAAATTCATTTTAAATTTTATCAGATCATTTCTTATGTAAATTCTGAACTAACTTTCAGAGACTGAAAAATGAATAAAACTGAAAACTTATCATATCTCCGAAGCCAATTGTACACATAGTAATGATTGCCCCTGTAAATAGAGAAAGGAAATATTTTCGGAAAAATTCTTTGAATTTATATTTGGCTAAATTTAAATCATATCTTGAATCTGATGCCCCAAGAACACCTCAATTCTTCTTTCATCTATTCAATAAGGTATTAAACAGATGAGATAATTCGATACATTCCAGCATTAAATAAGCAAATTCATACTTGAGTATGGAGAACAATCAGTTACTTCTCAAGGTTTTACGGAAAGTTTCTCAAAACTCACACCACAGTCCGACCGGAATGGAATGAAATTGATTGCCGGGATTTGTTTCCACGCGCTCCGCATAATAAACCAATGCGGCGAATATTACTATACCAAGTAGCACAAAAAACACCAACAGCAATAATTCCTGTGATGAATTTAATTGTAAAATACGAAAATGAAATGATCTCACGAAATAGAATTGAAATGAGTTTAAATGGTCATTATTTATTCATAATATTGTGGATAATCCATCTTTTTAGTGGGATTACAAAGGACGTTTAAGATAGCGGAAGATTTTTTGATTAAACCGTGAGGAATTGAAAAAGTACTGATTAGGCCGCAATATTTCCATCTTTAAATTTATTGTTTTACGCAGACATTTATAAATTATCTTAGTTAAGTATACTTGAGCAGACGCCTTAAAAGTTTGAATCAGAATTTTGAGCCCCGAGGAATGTTGCGTCAACTTGAAAAGTCGCAAAATTCGAATAATGGAGACGAATTCGACCGTATCGCGGTTGGCACCACTTACTGTTCGATCCAGCGCCCAGTCGACGTAAAACGACAAGGTCGCTATCAAGTCTAAAAAAATTGGATGGGAGGAAATTTGAAATACTTTTAACTTCTTTGAAAAAATTCAAATTTAAAAAGTAAAAACCTAACTTTTTGAAAATTTCAGCACATAAATAGTTGCCCTTGATGAAAATTTCGCTAGGCATTGAATTTAAATTTGTACAATCTAGAAAATTAATATAACTAAATGCAACTTTGAAATTAAATAGATGTTTATTGGGTATAGAAAGTAAATGTTTAGGGAATGTATAAGTTACCGATGATATTGACAGGCTGTCGGGCAAATTTTGATATTTTCGGGCAGAAGAGAGACCGAATGAATAATTCTATTGTGAACCATATATTGCTGATAAATTCAATGTAAAAGAAAGCGGGGTGCGGTCTGGAACAATTCTGAGAAATATAAATTCTTTTTTCTATTTTCCTTTTCGATAGTTTCCTTATTACGCTGCTTTGCTTCAATTATTTGTTCTTTTTTGTGATTCATTGACTTATCGACATAGACAAAAGAGCACTTTCGATTTTAAAAATTAAAATTTGCTGCATTAAAATTAAAATCGGAATAAGAGTTGTTAAATTAGCTAAACTGATGCTAAACTAATTAGCTTGATGCTCATTTCTTGTCTCCTTTCCGGGTTTCCAATGGATCAGAAACAAAGCAGTTCCTTGCTTTTTGCTGACCCAATACATAATTTAGCTTGTTAATGTTGATAATTTAGCTAGCTTCTAATCCGTCCAAATTTCACTCCTCAAGCAGGGAATTTTAATGATCAAACTCAGTGATTAACCTCCGTTAAGTAATTTTTCCTACAATTAATTTTTATGAAATTGCATATTATGGAAATGACATTATTGATAATCAGTGTTAGTATCTCTATCAACAGCACTGCCTAAGTTATGGCTTTCCATTTTTCTGATCCTGACATTTGTTTCTGAATCACCAAATCTTCAAAAGCTATGTTTACATATCAAATATACCGGGCTGTACAGGTAGTCTCCTTCGAAAAACATATAATCGGATGGTTTAAAGAGCACTACGCAAATATGTATAGTCTTACAAAAATATTGGAATGAAATATTTTCTATGATTGTTGAATATTTATATAATTTTGAGTATTTATATAATTCTAACGCGTAAAGATTTTCACCTTGTAGCGACTTTGGTGACAAGCAGTGCATAAGTAGAACCATTCCTGAGTTCGATATCGATATCCGGAATACGCAAATTCGGATGTGTCTTTAGGCAGAAACAAATTATTGATGTAACCACAAAGAATATGGATGTTACCGAAATTACCTGCAAACGTGTTATTTCATCTTAAGTACTTATTGCTTTAAGCAAACTTCTACTTTGTCGGGTTCATGTTTTTTATACTTATAATCCACACTTGGATAGCAAAGCTGAATTTTTCGGAATATTTTATTCTTTTCACCATTCTTTTCACTTAGCATTCTTTAAAACAATACTTTTTGTAATCTTTACCAAATATTTTTATCTCAGTCCCTTAAAGATGACCCCATTATGTCACCAACGATTATAAACAAAATCATTTTTAGTTATAAAATCTTAGAAGATTTCAGAACTTTGAGTTGCTGTATTTACTAACTAAATTAGCCGCTAACATTTAATTAGTCGTGAATATTACTTGAAAATCACAAAGAACTGAATACTTAATGTTAATAAAGATTATCTGCCCCAAGGCTGGCTTCCTTATCCTCGTGAACAAATCAAAGGTCACTCCTACCAGTCTTCTGATAACTAAACGATGGTGTATTCTATATCCAGAATCCTTCTGAATGTTTACAATGAATGTAAATATTTACAATTCAACATCATTGTTATTCCTCTATGTTGGTGCAGTTAATTAATTGATTTATGTTTATGTTCCTTTTGTAAATCTCGCAGAATATTAGGGCGGAAATTTAAGTTTGACAAGCACATGCATCATTCTGCATATATCATGCTAATGATTTGATAAGCGCATGCATTATTTTGAGGGTTACTTTATACATTTATAAAAACTGAAATGTTATATTCAGAAGCGATCAGTGACATATGAGGCAATTTCGTGTTAAACTGCTTTCTTAAGGTTTATCGAAAACAAACCACCATAAAAATATTAGTAAGAAAATGTGTCAATTTATCTTTTTCCTTTTACCTTTTTGCATTTAGTTATTAATTAATCGATATTTCAATACGTATAGAGTTTATAAACTTTGTTATATCAGGTTTACTGTACTCATTCTATATATGTGATATCCTTTGAATAAGTAAACAATGAGATGTCAAGGTACCACGATTCCCATTCTTTTAAATACGAAATTCATTGGCTTTTCATCAATACCATAAAGCTGTAACAAATAAAAGTTATCAAGCACTGTACAATATATCAACAAGTAAACAAGACGAAGGCATCAGTTAAGAGTCTATTTACTAATAATGAACAGATCATCGAAACCGAATTGATAACTGGATGATTGAATTTCTTAACTACTATATAGCCAAGTTTCATATCTCACCGATTTGCAAGAAGATAAAAGATATTTTTTAAGGTTCAAATCAAAATAAACAGTTATCGGGGAAAAGCACACTTACGACGGGAAAAAATCGAAACGGATTGATAAGTGGTGACAAACAAATGACATTTGAAGCACGAATGATAAGGTAGAAAAGCATGTTTGGATTGAATATATTGATCGGTTTTGTGAGTAACGATACAATTGGGGATTAATTTTGAAAAAGCGTATTAATCCATCACTTGGTAGCCACCAAATTTTTTTACAGATAAAAATTGTTTGAGGAATGAGCACAGACTTCAGGCCATGAAGCTTGACTTTGATGCTTGGTAATATTGAGCTGCTAGAAGGTCAATGATTCTGAAAGGTAAAGTGAGTGAGGTAGGGAAGTTGTTACTATGGATTCATTAGTAGAAAATAGAGCTTGATGAAGTAAAAAGTATCTCATTCGATTATTCATGATATTAACGATAGCGAAGAGTAAAACTTGAATTTCAAAAATTAGTAAATAATTAATTAAACAACTTTACTTCCTTCCGCTTATCATTTCTTCATTGATTTGGGAGATAAAAGCGGCGTCTTAATTTCATGCGCTTGTAATACTCGTCTTCTTTTTTTCGGTAACTTTGCACGAGCCTATTAAGGTGAACTATTGATCGGTTAAATTTCAATCTCGAAAAATACAAAGAGATCAACTATCATTCTAAGTAATCTTCTGCTCATTAGTGCTACTTACGACTTTCTGCAGATGAAAAAAAATTCTACATTAGTAAAACAAAAAAATTGTCTGCGACAAATTCGCCACATTTCAAGGTGGAATGGCATGTGCTGTAAATCATTAAGCTATCAACCGGTGTCGCACCAAGCAATATGCTAATGGAACAGTGTTCCGGAAGGCGCAATAATCAATAGACAATGCAAATGTCAAATTCAAGTGCTTCTTTTGAAAATTCAAAGCAAAATAGGCCTTCCATAGTTATTTGCAAGAATTAGATAAATTACTTGTGAATGAGAGTAGAGATTGGAAAAGTTAGCAACGATAACTGGCACTGGTAATGCAATAGTCAATACACCCATCAGAGCACATAATGAACCCACTAACATACCCAAATATGTTTTGGGCACCTGCAAATTGATGCACTTAAAAGTAAACTGCCTTTGAATAGAAAAAAAAAAAACAGAATTTAAAGATTTGATAAGTAGCTGTCGAATAAGTGGAGTTCAAATGAGAAGGAAAGAGGTGATAACAAAGCAAATTGGCAATAAAAGAACACAGATATGTATCCAAATGATTCATTTGAATCGATATAAGAAATGAGTTGTTGAAATAAGCGCTAATTTCAAGTACTTACCATATCACCGAATCCAATTGTGCACATCGTCACAATTGCCCTGAATTGTTAATTTAATTTTAGAGAATACATAGAAATCTTCTAGTAAATGAAAAAAATAAACAGTAGGAAGAGAGAAAATGTGGAAGGACAAACTTACCACCACAATCCGGCTGGTATCGAAGTGAACTGATTTTGTGGATTATTTTCGATTCGTTCAGCGTAATATACAAGTGCAGCGAATATAACGATCGCTAATAACACAAAAAATACCAGTAATAATAGCTCTTGCGCTGATGCCTACAGTGACGGTAGCCGTGAAGCATGTTAGCAGTAGGAATTTGAAATATTTGGGTGAAAATTTGAGGGATGATTTTCATTTATGCTTCACCTAGCTTAGATGAAATATGAGGTATAGGCTGTTCTTTCAGATGATTATGTTCTCTTCTCTGTTCTCAGTACTAATTAGCCTAATCATTGCTAATACTGAGATTTGCTTGCAAGATTTAATTGATAAAGTTTTTCAATTGCCTTAAATGTTTGTATGAGTATTTTAAGCCCACTGAAATGTTGAGTTAGCTTGAAAAGCCTTAGAACACATAATATAGATAGGAAATCGATAGAATTCGAGCTATGTTGATCGTTTATCAAACTGGTCACTAGCCAATCCAAATAAAAAGATCCTGTTGCTAATAAATCGACAACTGTTATAGGTGATTTGACGAATCGTTGTAACGATGGCGCAAATATCACACGAACTATCTAAAACCTTGGAAATGAGAAATAACTGATTTGCTTAATTAGACTGAAAATATAAATTCACACAATTCGGCCAGTACTGATGCTCATTATAATACAGGGAAGATTAATTAAAGTGAGATGATTTAAGATATTTTAAATTGCATTTTCCGAAGATTCGATACAGCCAATCAAACAGATATGAGTGGTTTTTATATCGACCAAACAATCACGAAATGAGCTAAGAGAAAAGTGTTATGAAATAATAGTGCTTATCAGTTATCACGATCTTCATACCGTCATTATCATTCCCTTAATCGGAGAAGTACTAATGAACGATATCTTTGCACTAACAAGTTCAGCGCTAAAATATATGTTGCAGATGAGATCAATATAGAAGAATGCCGGATGAGCATTGGTACATTGTTTGAAAGTGGCTATCGATTGGGTGTCATCGTTGCCAACTTCTCTATTATATGACACTGAAAGTGTCTAGATTGTTGTTAAAATATCAAGAAAATCACAGGTGAAATATGATTATTCTTTTCGATAATTAAATTTTATCATTTCTAAATTTTCCATGGTACCATATGTGTGATGATATGTTGTAGTTGTTATCCGCTGAACCTTTCTGCAAAAAAAGCTAAATTCTTTCTGAAATACAAGAATTTGCTGACCTGTAATGGATGGTATTTGGAATGCAGGATGTGTTTTGAGAACAAATGAAATGATATTGACGATAATGAAAAATACAGAAGAGGACGAAATCATCTGAAAGTCATTTCAACAGCATTCAACTAACAACACAACAAATGATTAGAAAGCATTGCAGAGGTTAAACTTATCTGAGATATGTTGAAAGCTTGCAGTATCCGAATTATCGCTTAATACTTGCGATGAAATAAACTTGAGAAATCATTCAGAGATCTTTGTCATCGAAATAATGTCAATTCAGTGGGAGTTAAAAATAAAATGTTAAGAAGTAATTAGTAGATAATTTGAGTGTTATTATTTTTGCATTTAATAAAAGTAATTTAATTTTGGGTTTAGTTCGAGCAAGCTCTCAAAAATATGCGGCATGCTTAGCATCATTCGGCAACTTGAAACATGCAGAGAAATGCAGCCTTTGGGAAATAAACAACAATGACAATACTTCTCTTCCATTACTACTAATTAAATTATCAAATTTCCAAGACCAATACCGCAGGCGCTAATTGACATTGCCATTGTTTATTTAAACAATGCAACTGGGAAAAAACGGAAGTTAAAATCTAAAGGATTTCAATTTTTCACAAGTAAAAAATTATTTACTTTTTGAAGAAACTCAGATTATTTTACAATAATTCTTGACGTATAACATATTTTGTTTTGTTTATTCGAAAAAATCTTAAATCGAACATACAAGTTAAATTTACCTTAGCATATTGAGAAGACCAAGGCTCATCAAACATCGCCCATACCATTGGTTTAAGCTGTTGCCATTTTGACAAATTGCCTGAGTAATAATCATCTTCCCAGCCAAATTTTTTCGCAGTTTCTTCCTGGGTTGGAGGATCGGCATCCAGGTCTAAACCTTCGATTACAGCCAGCGTTTCTTGGGTATCCCTAAATGCTTTTCAAATATTTTGACAGTTTAAATATGTAAGTATTTGTACCGAACATAACCAATGACCAGACATTTTTTTTTTTCGATCACAGAATGAAATTAATGCAGCACAATTGAGATATTAAAATTTTTCATTTTATGGAAAAACGTTATGAAAGTTTTGAAGTGACATGTAATGATGGTGTTGTTTAAAATTAAATTTTTTTATTAAAGTTGTTTAAAATTAAAGAATCCTGAAAATACTAATTATACATTTCCTCCGAACAATTACCGGTGTTGTGTATAAGTCATCCAGCAGCATGGTTCTACTTGATTTGAGTCTAGGCCCCAGAATTCCAATTCATCCTCGAACAAAGGACCACAAACATTGGTCGGATAATGCAACTTTCCTAGCAGTGGACAAATTAATTCATTGAAAAGTCTATGAAACAAAAAATCCTGCAAAATCATTGCTGCAGATTTTGGGAGCATTTCGTAATTTACGCTCATCAAAAAAATTGACCACCTGTTCGATAATAATTTAAAATCATTGAAAAAACACCAGGATGACGATCAAAAAAATATTCATTCAGCACAGGGTCGTAATTTGCCAAATTTGTTGTCAGTCTAAAAGTTAAATTTGATATTTTAAAAAGCTGTCGATTTCTTTAGTTTGATTGATTCATATGCTTTATGAATTAAAAATTAAAAGTTTTGCGATGACCAAATTAAATTACTTTGTTCGCATAAATATGAAGAGTAAAAGTTTAGGGGGGACCTGGATAGTCTTGTGGCTGGAATTTTTTTGAGTACATGAGTATATGTTTCATGTCGAATGCCCCCAACATTCAATATGACGCGATGTTCGCAATCCATCCAAACACTAAAAATTAAGTGAATTTATCACAGACTGATTTTACTTTCTTTATCTAAAGAAGGTTGAAGAGGAAACATATGGATAGAAATTGCAAGCACTAAAAAGCCTGATTGCAAACCATCCCTGAAGACATTATATTCGATGTTATTCTGCTTGAGCAACAATTTTATGCAAATTTCTGATAATTTATCAGCAAAATAAAATAAAGCGACAACATCTTTTTTCCGAGGAGAAACCAATCTATTTTGTTCCTCTCAATTTTACGCAAATTAAATTAAAATTTGTGATAAAATTGAATGATGTAAAAAAAAAACATTGAACTGATGAAGAGAAATTTGCTTATCATTGAATAAAACAGCGTTAACTAACTGATAACATAGAAAAGAATTTTATTTTGAATTTTTATTTCAATTTCCTTCTCAGTTTTTTGGGTGCTCATGTCAGAAGAAATGATTTCATTTTCATATATGAAGCTTTCATTTTTTTTTCTGAATGACCTAGAGTTTTTCTGGAAAAGATGAAAGCTCTCATAATTACATAAGCAATTGTCATTTTCATTAAGTCTTATTTTCAATGCACGTACCTATTTTCATGTATTTAGAGAAAACTAACAACAAATTTACCTAACAAGTCAAACTTTAAATTTAATAAAACAACTTCCCCAAAAGCTGTTATTCTAACGTTATCGCTTTCCTTGGTTGAATATGCAAATAGCAGAGTGAAGTAGGCAGTTGCAAGCACGAGATAATATCGTAGGATATAAATGATCCCATGAACAGTTGGTGATATTTTTCCTTATGAACAGCAAATTTGATTTAACACTTAACAGCCAATTCACACCTTTAACCGGAATTATAACAAATATTATCAACTCCGCTACTTAGAACCTATTACTTGTCTTTCACTTCTTTTGTGTACAGCTCTAGTGACAACTGTTTGAAGAAAATGTCCTGTGTTCCCGAAAGTATGGAAATTGGGAGAAGCTATAAAATGTTGATGCAAATGGACCAACCAATGAGCAGCAGCAGTTACACATAACAAAACTGAAAGTGACATTCTTAGTAAAGTTCAAAAATTGTCCCTCTGAGAAAAAGATATCACCGTGTTCTTTCTGTTGAACATTATTACCAATTGAGAAATGGTTTCTTCAGAGCATTGGAGGAGGAAACACTTTTTTATTTACTTTCTCTTTCTCCTCCAGAAAAAGAGATTATTCAAGATTATTCAAAATAAATGATCTAAGACCATATTTTTTACTGCCACTTAAACAAAGTAAATCGAATAGAAAAGATAACATAAAACAGTGGCTTTTATTTCAGTTGTTACTGTTATTATCTGTAATTAAATCAAGTAATTGGATTACCTGAATTGTCATAGTTAGGATGTTGTTAAACTCGCCCCAAAAATACCTTAATCTTGAAGTAAAAATTTCTTTGTGCCCAAAGATTTGAAAATTTTTGTTCTTAGCTTCAAAATAATGTTGTAAAAGGTTCCCTGCACGGTTCTCAATAACAATACTTTAGGAAAACAAGAGTGAAAAGTAATGAGCTAATAGTGAAAGTATGCTAAAGCACTTTCTGCTCAAACATTCATATTCCTTAAATATTCCTTCGATTTTTTTTTATCACCAAATGACTTGTCCTTGTGACATCCGATGCAAAAATAAACCAAAGTCATCACTCTAATCAACAATTTAATTAAAGACATTGAATGCGTTACTGTGCTAGGAATAATTGTTCAATTTTTTGCATGAAGTTTAGCAAGAAAGCATGCAACATCACTGCATTGTTTTTAGTTTGATGAATACGAGTAATTAAATAAAATTTTCTTTAAAATATCCCACAAGCAATTAAAATAGCTCGTTGCCCCAATTGCATTTTTAGAAATACCTAGTAGTATCGCATAATTAAAAGCAAAAAAAAATTTTTTTTTGTATCGATTAAATTGAACTATGTAGTTATAGTAGGATTCCGAAGTAAGTTGGCAGTGATTATGCAGCAAGACAAGTGAGCTTAGCACCTTCTTTTGTTTGCAAACTCACAGGATTTTTGCTTTTGTGAGTTCAAACACATCGATGATAAGTATGCCAAACCTGAACCATTACAAGGTTACTCCAATCTCAATTCACTTTTCATTATGCAGTGATAAATACTTTCATGAACTAATTTAAACGATTATTAACGAGATCATTGGTTAGTCCGATAAAACGAAGATGAAATTGGCTCTGAATTATCCAAATATCGGCTATTCATTTAAAACGCTGACTTCTAAAAATTCTTCTAATCGGATTTTTGTGCAGATATAGCAAAAAAGGAAACGAATATCAATTCAATAAAATTTAAAGAAAGTGAAAGAAATGAGAGAACGAAAACAAATATAGTAAAACAATATCTATGGTAGGTGTCATGGAAAAGGTTTTTGAAATGATCACCTTCAACTGAAAAAAAAAAAAGTAGGAAATCCTTCAGATCTATGTGAAAATAATAACAAACCAAGTGGGAATAAATGAAACTGGCAAATTCAGGAAGCTGAATATTATGAGCTGAAAGTTCTCAGACTACCTTCTTTCCATTTTAGTGAGATAATGTGATTTTCCGGAAATCATATCACATTATGTATTCATTCCTCCAATTTCCAGGAAATTCTTTATTCTTTTCGGCATTTGGGATCTCAGAAAATTTCTAAATTATCTGCTAATAATGAAAGGTTTGTCAACAAAAGTAATATAATGTTTTATGATTCTTCAACAGCTCAAAACTCAAATACTACACGGGCATTGCAGTAATTTCAATTGTTTGCTTTTCATTTTGAATTTTTGAGTGAATAAGAAAACATAAAATATGTAAAATTTAGTAAAATATAAAAAGTAGGATAGGTTTTCGAAAACAAACAATCAAAAGTTTTTCGATACATTATTGTCAAGAATTTTGTGAATATGAGGGTGAGATGACGAAAACTGATGAAAAGTTCTGAAATAGAAACTTATTTCGAGAAGAATTAAAAGTACCGCCAAATTCACTTATTACCGCCTATGCCTTAACTTACATAATAATCAACATAACTTTAAATGAAGCAACATAACTACCAGTGGCATCATTTGGTTCTCAGTCTATTTGGTCCACTAATCAATATATGAGAAGATGCAGAGGGGAAAGCATAAGGAAAAATAATAGGAATTAATATTGCATAAGCTTTTAAAAAGAGCGCAACTAGCACTTCAACGAAGAGTGTGCAACTGTTCTCCATATTTTTGCAAAGTATCATCATTGTCTTCCTACTGTTTGTAAGTAAAGTTTAGTGAGAATAATGGGAGAACGAGGAGAATTCAATTTTGCATAAATTTCTTTCCCAGTCAAATTTTGGCGATAATTTGAGAAAAGATTTTATATATAGATCGCCTTCTCATCCTCTAGTAAATTACTCCATGTAAAAACAAGTCGCGTCTTTTTTGATATTTATAGAGCCAAAACAAGAAACACATCTTTTCCTGTTCCGTAAGACAAAAAAAAAAAAAAAAACAACTTGAAACAATCAGAATACGCAAATTATTACAAATGATAACAATAAATATAGCCACCAATGTTGAATTAATTTCAGTCTTCCTTCTAGCTTTGCTGACTTTTTTGGAAGACAACTATAGGCGACATTTCTAAATATTTCTGTCGAAATAATAATCTGTCAAGATGTAAAGTGTCAAAGAATTGAAGTCTGTTTAAATTACTAAAGTGATGAAATTTTTGGATCTAAGACTTCAAAAATAGTTTTGTGATTCTGCGAGAGAAGAGGAACGATGTCTTCTGAAAACAATAATGGATATGTCCAGGTCTTAAATGAATCGCTACACTGCAAAAAAATTAAATTTCCTGAAGAAAAAATGAAATGAAAGAAGAGAATATATGATAGCTACAAGAATGTACTTATGATTGGGAAGAGAAAACTATCAATTTGTTGGAAAATTTCCCAAAACTTTTCCTCTCGTACAGAAACTTTCAAAAAGACAAAATTAGTATATTATTGCAAGAATCATACCATATGTGAAGATGTGCAAATTAAAATAATTCAATTAAAGCAGGCATTCTTTTTTTAACAGCAAGCCTTGCGAATGGTATAATCTTCGATAGGAAATGAATAGAGAATCCTTTGGGGAAATGAAGTTTAACATACAATTATTGGGCCCTTTACTTATGAACCTTTCAAACCGAAGCCTTGTCATTTGAAGCCACGTATTTCATCTAAAAAAAACCGAAGTAAAGTTAACTTGTTCATGATGAAAAACAAGATGAATTTTTGGAACATGCAATATTTTCTCTAAGACGGTTAATGTTATTTTTCTTCTTTACTTCTACCTTTATTCATTTGCAGAATCAACTAGCAAATTAACTAGCCTTGTTATAACTATTTTCCATAAGTTGGAAAAATAAAATTTTAGAAATTGAAAAAAAGAAGGTACGGAAATGAGGAAGTTATAATTAAAAAAATAAGTGATATGTAAGTTCTCTGAGTGTAAGTTCTTTAAGGTGTACTGTTAACTATTATCCTTCGGTAAAAAGTAAACTAGTGAGAAGTTATTTTGTTTTGAAACAAAAATGAGATGTCGAAAATTGATAAAGAAGTAATGCGTCAAAAGGTCGTGAAATGATAATTAGTTATAGTTATGCGGCATTTTATTTGGAAAATTTTTTCGAAATATAATTGAAGATTTGAACTCTCAGGAAATTTTATGCTAGACAAAATTGAATCGTAAATGGGGTATCAGTTTTAAACTGACCTGGCTTATCGGGGTCAGGTTCAATGTGAAAAGTTGATAGCTATTTCTGGAAGGAATTATAAGCTTCAACTTTCAAATTGCAATCAATTTCGAAAAATACAAGTTCACTCAATATTTGGTATATAAAGTAAAGTAAATTTCTGTATTTTCAAATAAAATTTTTCATTATAAGGAAGAAGGCTGAAAGAATGTGTGATATTACTTGTGAAACAAAGAATTAATGGTAAAACAACGCTTCACTATGATGAAGTTACAATTCATCTCTACTTTAAATATCAGCTATTAAGGAGTATTTATTAAATGTCAATTGATTAACTGTAGACGATATCTTCAGTCCACAAAGACAAGGTGTCATCAAAGAATTTCACCGATGAGTCTTTGTCGTCATAGACTCTTCGATACTGAGTTTTGCAACTTTGCCAGCCGGCAAAGCTGAAAAATTACAGCTTCTGAGTGAAATGCCAAATAAAAATTTATAAAAATTTATATAGGGAGTATGGAGTATGTAAGAATTCATTTGTTGAATCAATTATTCCCGGAAATGAATGAAGTTTGAGTGGGAGATCCATACTCAAACAATATCTCGAGAAATGCTTGCACGAAAGCTATCTTATAGAATGGTCTTTTAAAGACAAATGCGCCATCTTCTAACAATAACTGACGTAACGAAGGACGAAGAAGAAGTAAAAATTTCAAAAATTTAAAACAGTAACGCATACAAGCATAACAATTTCTCATATTTCCAGTTCAGCTTTTTCCCAAAACTGTCTCTTTAATTGCTCACTCAAATTACATTTCAAATCTTTGTAAAATCTTCAATACCATTCCATTCTCGCACCGTTTTTAAGTTCACTTTCATGAATACTTTTCTCTCATCATTAAATAAGCACAAAAAACTTTGAGAAATCATTCGCCTTAAACGCTAAGACTTTTCTAAATAAAGCTGACGTTTGCTGACGTGAAATATATGAACACATAAAATGAGACACGTAAAAATTTGTAAAAATTTCGTAAAAATTTCTGTTTTTGCCTAACACCAAGAAAAATAGGCTGAAGTAAGCGAATATTTTCAAAAGCTAGTATCAATGAAATGATCATGAAAAAACAAAATTCAGTATCTTATTATCTTCAGGAATATTTCAATGTTAATATATTTGAATGAAGTTTTACTTTGAATAATTTCCGCAATAAGATATTATAGAATGAAATTTCTTTCTAAATCGGTTTACATAGCTAATTTTAATTGCGTAAACATTTGTTGAAAGACTGCCGTGGCTAAAAGAAAATTATTACAAAGCCTACTGTTACTTGCATCAAAAACGTTAGTTTTTTGTGAGAACGATTTTATGAAAGGTTGTATATAGTTCATTTGATTTTATCATTCATATAACTGCTATCAGTGATAGATAATAGATGCATTCATTTGAAGAGAATTTGCAATAATTTAAGTAAGAAAAAATAAATAATCCATCCGAAATGATAATTTTATTCAACTAAAATGATAAGGAATGATACACGAAATTTAATGGCTAACGTCAACAATCACTGAGAAACATTTTTCATTACATTTTCTTGCCTGTCTCATCTGAGTCTACGACAAGATTTGAATGATGTGCAAGGAAGCTCACAGAAATAATTATTCCGGTGATACTGATTAATTCAGGATATGGCCAAGTCGCTAACACTGATAACATTGGATTTAGTCAAAATAAGCTATTTAGAATTTTTGAATTTTAAGTTCAAAATTTTTTTCAAATGCAGCAACAATGAACATAACATTTGTTTTAAGATTAAGGTAAGTCAACATATAGCCTTTAGATAGCATTGATTAAATTGAAGCAGGTGAAAACCAAACAACATTCCACATCAAAAATCAATTCGCAATCATCTGTTGCATTTTCAAAAAATTTAATACCAAATGAAATTCACGTTTGTTTCTTCTTCCATAGATTTGGATTCAATATAAGTTCTCAATGGTCATAAATTAAATTGATTCTTTTGCCATTAATCACTGCGAGATTTAATTTTATAAAGAAGGAAATATGATTTTTCGTGAAACTTTGCATATAGAAGGACCATCCTAATTGGAGGATCACCCCAACGAAGCTTTAATTCCATGAAGCTTTAAATAGTAGTGGCAATGTTTATCAAAGATTTAAAAGTAATGGCAATGTTTATTCTGCCACGAAGGATAAATCTCCTTCATCTGTCGCAAGTAGTTACTCTGACTTCTAGACCACCTGTTTAAAGCATTTTACGTCTCCAACTTCTTCTATACACTAATTCTGCGTTCTACTAATTTTTAGAAAAGAAATGATTTGCGACGGGAGTAAAACTTTTTTTTCAAAACTTCCTAAATTTATTAATTAGTCTATGAAGTCTAGAGTAAACAGATATTGGTGCTTCATTTCATTTCAAACTTTTATTTAAAACGGTAAGTTTATCAGCTCTCAAATGATGCGAAAATGAGAGAAATACCCTGGCATTTCTCCGTCTCTTGAAAAATTTGCTCATAGCTATAACATTTACGATAAAATTTAACTTATGAATCTGGTGAGATTAAAAGTTTGAGATGAAAACCTCTCAATTTCCAAATATAGAGATAGACTTCTATTTCTGCTCCGGTCGATCTCTGTACCTCCATTTAAGCACATATTATTCTACAAACTGAATTACATAACAAGCAAGAGAAATTACCGCAAGGGGTCAAACGAAATTTCTTAAAGCATAAAAATTCCTCATGGAAAGATATTATAAATTCGAAAGAAAATTCTGTATGTTGGAAAAACCAATATTAGAAAAATGAAATGTCAGGAAAGATTCGAGAAATGTCACCGATGATGTAGCAATTATACGAAGAGTTCTTTGTCCCGAAAGCAAAGAAAAATGGAACCTTTTATTACTTTTATTGGTTTCAATTTTAAGGAAAAACCTTTTTTAGAGAAATATATACGACTCACCAGTTTCAGTCTCACTAACACTCAAACTATATAATATTACAAATGAAGATGCTCTTCAGAAGTAACACTTTATTGCTTTATAGACCGGAAATTTCTTACTAAAAAAGTATTCAAATTTTATAACTCCCTATACATTATCACATGACGGGTGGGAACTTAAGGAGGTTTTTGCTTTATATTCATAGCAAACTCAAAGCGGATCATATTTCCTCTAACTCCCGACAAATACTCAAGGCACTTTTGAAGTCGCTTGTTTGCAGAATTACAGCTACAACAAAAGCACTTCAAGTCCACTGTTCAGATATTTTGAACTAAATTCCCGCTGAAAAGATTTATTTAAAATTCTGAAATATAATATCCAAGTATTAAGAAGACGAAATAAAGCAAAAGTTTAACAAATCAAAATGCATCAGATAAGAAAATCAAGTGATAAAAGCCATAACTTTTACAGAGAATAACTTATTTTACCAGGTAAAATAGATGATGACCGAACTATTACTAATTATCACTAAGATGTTCGAAAGACAAAATAAACAAGTTAACGAATCACGAAAAAAAATATGGGTTTCTTTTTAAATTCACAGCAAAAATTAATTCCCATAGGGACTAGAAATTACATGTCAAAACAAAATGCAGACTCGCTTTTCAGTTAGAAATCGGTACTTTCGGATGAATGAAATTTCAAATTGCCCATCCACTTATAAAAAGTCATCGAATAATACATAAAATACCAAATCAGCAAGAACACATTTCACAATGTGCAAACTTATGGAAAAAAAACAGTTCCATAAATTTGAAAAATGAGTATGTATTTGCACAATTTGTACATTTACGCACATGGAATCTGACAAAATTCACCCTAATTTCGACAGTCAAGTGTATCAAGTTGAATTTCAAACTTTTCGCCAGAAAGTTACGAGTAAAGAAAACTCATAACATGTGCAATCTTCCGCAGATCATTTACTAACTTCCTTGCCTATTAAAAAGTTTGAAGAAAAATGTCATAAGTGAGAATATTGACAAGAATAACTTAAGAAAGTCTTCAATTTTTTTAAGCACGTCACGAAGTGACATTTACAAAATATAATTCGATGAAGGAAAATGAGTTATTACACATGACCTTACAATTATTTCAAGAGGACATTAATATTCAAAAGGACAAAATTTTGAAGGAAATATTGAACTAACTCGTTACACATAACCTTACAATTATTTTAAAAGGACACTGGTATCGGCTCGTAAGTCAACTTCAATTTCATCTTTCATGATGTATGAAAGCAAATTTCTTAGTCATGGTATATTTGATAATATTTCCTTATTTTAGGGTGCAGCGGGAACTGTTATTTAACTGTAAAACGATTAAACATACCAAATAATATCGCTTATTTAAAATAACATTGATATTAGAAATCATTAAGAAAACTCTTGCCAAACTTTAATGGTCATCCATTTTAATCCAAACCAATCTACATAGATATCCTATATCACGAGGAAGGCAAATAGCAACGGCCCTCACAAATTCGCGACCATCAGTTTGATTTAAGACAGTTACACCACTTATCTCAGGATTTAGAAACCAGATCTAAAACAATCTACTGCCAACATGATCCATATTGAATTTCAGTTCTTGAAACTACATTAAATTTTAAAAGATGACCTAAAAAGGAAGAAAGGAACATGGAAAAGACTAATTTAAGTTAATTTCCAACCTAAAACTTTCAAAACCCAATCATCATTGAACTAGTATAAATTTGTTTCTCATAAAATTATCTATTATTGGTTTTTGCTTATGATTTGAGAAACAAAATAAATTATTCAACCAAATTCCAAAACTTTCATCAGAAGTCTGCAGAAAACATATATCGTGCACAGAGTTTGTTAGCATTTAATCTCTTAATCCACAATAAATCTTGAGACGAAGATGAAGAAATTCTTTCGTAAAGAATTTTTCAGAGTTAGTGAATTTCATAAACAGACAGAAAAGAAATGGGAATTTTAAGAAGAATGTTGCATATCACAGTTTAGAATTTGCAAAAAAAAATTGTTGCATCGAATACCATAATTTCAATAATTTGTAAAAAAAAACAACTGAAAAAGTATTGCAAAGAAAGGAATTTAGCTGAGAAATCAAAAATAATTCGAATTTGATAAATAGACAAAAATTTTTTGCACTTGAGAAAATTGCATCTGTTCTTCAGTCAGCTTTCTTTCTCGCTTTCGATTTAGATTGTGAGGATGGTACTAATGCTGGAGATCCAACTTGCTGAACATTTTGGATTTCAGTATCCTGGAAACTTTCACCAAATTCGTTAATGCGTGATTTGTCCACCGGATAAAGATAACGTTGGTAGAGATAAATGATAAAAACCACATCATCTCGGAAACAAGCAAGGCGATGAGATGTCGGCATTGTGATAATAAATGCAAACATATCGTCTATGAAAGTATTAAATGCCTGCAATTAATTATTTAACTTAGAATCACGCTCATACGTCAAAATCACAATATTTAGAAGCAAAACAATAATTGGAACTCGAATATCCAAAGAAATATGCGAACCTATTAGTACGAGCAAACTCTAAAATACTTGAAATTTTCTGAAAAAATTCATAAGCTCCTAATTTGAATTTGTGAAGAATCCAGGAACCACAAAATGGTTTATAAGCTATGATTATTTGATTGCTTCGTAATAGCAGATCAGCATGAAAACACAGAACTGGAGACAACAAAAAATATTTAGCTAAAAATTAATTTCGATAAAAATCAGAGAATTGAAAAATAAAGGTTAGTAATTAGACACGAATCAATAAAAAGAAAAACAATGTAATGCAGATGATTTAACTGAGCTTCCACCAAAGTTTGGATATTTTTAGTGTAATAATGAAAAGATAAAGCGGTTGCATTGTTACACAGAAAAACTTTACAAATTCGATCTCCATCTTAAATCTATATTCATGGACCAACTTTCTTTTTCTTTCCCTTGTGATTCTGCTAATCCATTTCTCCATTTCCACCCTGTCTGAATGGCTTCAAACTTCTCACCAATAATTTGGCTCCCAACAAATGAATAACTTTCTGCTTGGCTCTCAAAGCTAATACCAATTTAGGGCTCTTATCGCCATTGTCCAAAAAATATGTAAAGAGCTTATACATACCTTATACATAAAAGTTCTCCATGGGAGATGAGCAACTGATTTCATACGATAATTAACAAACAACTGCGGTAGCATAAATAAAAATCCGAATGCATATACACCGTTAGCCATGCACTGAACTATCCAACTATACCATGACTTATGTGGAACATATGCCAAGCTGGAATAAGCTAAATACATCATATATGAATAGACCTTCTGATATTTCAGTTCTTTAATTAGCCGCTGTCTAAATGGAATTTTGCCTCCTCAAATCAAATAAGTTAACTTAAGAGAACAACATATCCGGATGTAGGGCAAATCATAAATGATACCTATAAATGGCGCCGCCTATGCAAAGTGGTGTAAGTAGAAAAGTGAGATATTTCATTGCTTCTGAATCGAATAATTCAGTTTCTATTTCTGCTGCAGTGGAAGTTCCAAATCGGAAATGTGGTATGCCTTTTGACCAATAAATTGAAATCTGTAATAAACATACCAAAATCTAAGACACTGTATTTGTTTCCACAGTGATAAAGCACTTTAACTCAAATTATTGTTTATTTTAACTCAAATTAAATTATTTTTTAACTCAAATTATATATAATTATATTAGATTTCAAACAATACGGTTTGTTTTCGTCGGTAAGCATAGCGAAAACTCTGATGAATACAAATGAATAGTGATTTCATTTCAAAAAAGTGAAGAGAGATATCACAGTATGTTGATTTTCTTCCGACTCCTTAATTTAAGACACAATCTCACTCAATCTTAGAATATCACAACATAGCCACTTTTAAAAAATAAGTTTCCACTAATGAATTGCGTTTTTAACTCCCAAAATACCAAACAGTTGTAATAAAAAGCAACCAAGTTTAGGAATGAAAACTTTTCGCGACGAAAAATATACACAGATATATTATTACTTTGGCAGACTTAGTTACTTTCCAGTATTCGATAATGCAGCCAATAGCAGTTGGAATCGTTACCAGAAGGCTCGTTTCTTCATCAAGAAGATATATAAATATCACTGATTGACTGAATGAACGCCATAACACAGTTCTGAAAAAGAATAAAACATAGCTGTAAAGAAGCATCTGACTTTCATTAAAGCTATTTTCTTTGGACTAGTTTTCTCTTGATATGACACAAAACGTTCACCAAATGTTTAAAAAAGCAGTACTCGTAACCTTGTCGACAGACCAGCCATACTTTTACGATTTCGCCAAAACGCTATGTCATTTTTAAACGCGAGGACATCAAATAACATGTGCAGAGTAGCAACAAACATTGTCACAGCCAAAAAGTAAAAATTCGTGTCCACAAATATTCCCTTCACCTATAAAGAATCCAAAGTAATTGAAAGCAAGTGAAAGTTACAAAATTTAAAAATGATGCTATAATAACAAAACATCGCAAAATCCATAGAAAAAATTATAATGAATATAGCGATAGCTGACCTCGTCAACATCCTTGTTGCTAAAACCCATTCGCTTCAGTTGACTAAGAGACGCTTGAGCGGTAATCAGTAAGCGCAATTTACCAATGGATATTGGTCGGTACTGGATCTTCATCTTGACGCTTTTTTGTTCAGGTTCTATCTATTTGACAAACAAATTATTATACTAATTTACAACTCTTTAAAAAAAAGAAAAGAAAAAAAGATATCTTAAAAGAATTCTCTTTTTCCTCGTTATACTGAATAAAGGTATTATTAAAAAGAAAGTTGGCTAACGCAAAGTATGAAGGAATCCACCTGTATCAGATCCTTGGTAAGAAAACTCAACTCATCGATATAAAATATTGGCCAATAATATGTCTGACCTTCTGGAATGTAAGTGGCTTAAAAAATTCTAAGTTCTAAACTTGAAAGTCTATATACATAAAACGTTGTTCGATTACTGCTCTTAAGTTTTGATTACGGAAAACAATACGACAAATAATTTGCTATTATTAACTACTAACATAAGAACAATGACAGTGATACCTCTTTAAATGTTCAACCGAGTAATATGCTATCACTACAAAAAAATTTCTGTTGCCTGGAATGCAAATTACACCGTGATGAAATGAAAAATGAAGTGCAAATCAATGGATATTGCTAATGAATAAAAAGCTCTTCAACAATAGAGAACTTAATAAATACCTTTGTGGAAAAATTGCATATGCTGATAGATTTCACTAGGAAGAGCATATAAATCAAATTTAGGTGATTCAGCAACAATTGTTAGTGGTAGTTTGCTGCGAAAATGTGTGACTGGTGTTCCTTCTTCACGTAACTAGAAGCAATAAAACTTCCATTCCTTGATTTATGAATAAAATCAAACTACTAAAAATTCTGATACAGTTTTCAAGTTGAATAGAAAATCTTTCGAACACTTTTGCAAACTGCGACCATTGATGGAATGCTTTCAAAGAATAATTAAATGAAACCTGATCTATAGATCTACTGGCTTCTTTACCCCTCTTTTGTTTTTCTTCAGCTTCTGTAATCAATCGAAATGTCTCTGCTTGGGGAATTTGGTATGTTGTTATACGAACTGTTTGTATTATTTGCCAAGATGCCTTAAAAACAATCGGATTTCAATGTGTGAACATCTAGCTTATTTAAAATGCAAATTCTCCATATAGAAAACTAAATTTAGTTGAAATCAAGCCGCTGTGTTACATATTACGTTAGGAAACAGATAAACTTATTATTTTTAATTCTAAACCACTGATTAATAATTACTGAAGATTTATGTCGTTCAGGCCTAAATACGCAAAACTTTATCAGTTTGTATTCCTTAAGCTGTACTATTAAAGTGAAAACGTCGAACTAAATCTAAAAATTTGCAACAAATGTTACATACCTGGTAAGGATCCTGATGCTTATGCTCTGCAGGTAGCAAGAAGCAGTGCAAATATAATGAGCCATTGTTACGTGTATGTTCTGGGAGATCCACATATACCTAACATGAAAACTTTTAATGAATTAAGTGAAATGGAAAAACAAATACACTGGGTAGGAATACGGAAAAATATCTTAATGAGCTGTCCATTCCAACAGAAAAAAGCAGACCACGTAATCAGAAAGCATGCAATAATTTGTATTTCTGAGAAGATCAAGACTTACCTCCCTTTCCATGACTTCATCGATATCCAGAAATGCGATCTGATGAATGACTTTTCCATAATTCTCTTTGGCACGAGAATTTACGGATGCGTAAATACGAAACTGCAGTGGCGGCCATTCGGCACTCACTGCATCCCTTTGGATCATTGGCTAAAATGAATTAAGTAAGCCTAAAAATTATTCCCCTTTGTCTTTTTTTCACTTTCTTTCGATACTTTCTGTCCAACCCGTCGAACTCGAGCAGCTATCGGAGGAATGGAGTTTCACTGAGAAAAACGGAATGCGAAATGAGGATTCCGAATGCTCCAACTATAGACGTTTTGTAAAACATTATACCAAATATTATATAAATATTATAGCTTTTATCCAATCATTTTCGACGAAAAACATTATACTCCGTACATTATACTCTGTATAACGTTTTGGTTGAAACTGATCGGAAAAAACAGATGGTGAATATCGCTAAAATTCTAATCAGCTATTGAATGAACAGGATTTTGCCCCCTAATTGTGTCATATCGAATTTTTCACCGGAAAAAGAGGTTCAAATACTAGGAACTTTCATTGAGAAAGTTCTTTGATGAACAAAACAGGAAAGAAAGAACGAGACTAACAATTAAGCATTCCTTGTCATCTTGATTTTGTCGGCATAACGGTGGATGAAATAAGGTATAGATTGAGTGCATCGAATGGGCAATATAGATGACAAAGATTATTGTGGCCACATTCGCCAAAGATAGTTTGAACATACCTCAAGCTTCTTTTTCGGTGACTAAACAGGCCTGAAATTTGCGGAACTCTTTAAACTCAATAGAAAGTGATGCTATTTTGCGTGGAACATATTTTACTGATGAAGGATTTCTTTGGTTATTCACCGGTGGAAATACCCGCGATCAAAAGTGAAAAATTATGAACCTCCGTTCAAAACAACTATCTGGAGGGAAGAACAAAAGAATTAAATTTCTAAACATCACAATGCAAACAGAAGAAAGAGCGACAGGCATTTGGAATAACATTTGGAAGATACCCAATCAATTTCATACAAATTGCAATTTAGGAAATGAAGCAAAGTAAAATGGCAAAAGACATAAGCCAACTGTCTGACTGACTGTTAAAGGACGGCATCTGTGGATGATGCATACAGCATGCGGAAATTAGGCAGTGGAAGGGAATAAAACATTTCTACGAGTATATGCCAGCAATTTCTAGCAATAGCATCTGAGCAAAATCCTTTTTACGCCGCAATTTTCGATTGAAATTCATCAAAGTCCTGTACCTGTGATGTTCCATGCATAAGGTTCATGATGAATACGTCCTAGAAGGCAGCTAAATATAGAAAGTCGAAACTAATAGTTATTTTAACTTATTTTAACTAAGTGATATTAACGCAATTTTCTACTTCCATAATCACTGTCAAAGTCTTCACCGTAATTTGTTTGTAACACTCCACTCGTGATAAAAGAGTACGAATCTGATGAAAAAACTGATAAACAACATCCATTCTCAATTCTCGTGACACAATAACAGATAAGAATTGTTAAAACCTTTAGTTAAATTACTGAAACGATAGGAATTCGTTTTTATCATGAATAGTATACAAGATAAAGAATGTAACAGAAAAGTAATGTAACAGAAAACACGGAAATTTAGGCGTTAAAATTATGGCAGCCTATATTGAAATAAGTACAGATATTTCAAAAATGGAACAAACTGAAATGAATACACACGTTAAACAGTAACTATGTTAAACCGTAACTATTTTGACAAGTATTCATCTCATGCCATTATCCCTTCCAATGTGACCTTTGACATGACATTTTTAAATACCTGTTTCGAAATCCAGCAGTCATTGAATGTTGAAACAATAACACTAATTTAGTTAGCATAATTAGAGCAGCAACTATAACATATCTAAAAGCTGTCTTTGATGCCATCATAGTAAAAGTGTAAAAACGAACAAGTAATACTTATAATATTAGCAGTATAGTTCAAACAAATGGTAAACAAGCATAAAACATATATAAATGAACCCATAGATAGAAATGCAAGTAACGACCATACTGGAAGTTAAATGAAATTTCGCTAACCAAGAGAAAGAAGTCCATGTGCAAAGCAACATTAGTATGTGACAATTTCCAAAATACAAATTATGAATTTAATTTTACTGGGAATAACCTGAGATTCAGTAAGTTCGCAGTAAAATAAGAAACTATGCAGTATATGCATTAATTTATCATAAAAAGAAATAGAGAAGAAAAAAGATAAATTACATATTTTATAAACTATTTCCATCCGCAGTTAAAAATCTGAGCACTTTGATATATTTGAAAGACAACGATCGATGAAAAATCGACTTTTTATTGAAGAGTAATTCCTTCCACTAAAAGATGGTTTGAAGAAAGATGTTATGGTGCTACCGGATGCATTTTCCGGACCACTCCTGAAATCAAAAATAAATCTATGGTATTTACTATGTGCATTTCACTGTCATTCCATGCAACAAAACTAGTTTTTGGGGATTCATTTACTTCCAAACATTTCCTAAAATGTTCATTTTGCTGACATTTAAAGAAAGCTTTTCGACTGTAATAATATCGAGTAACAGTGTTAAAATTCTCATTATGTTTTTTAAATTTCTCTCCAAATTTGCATATTCATCATCGAAGTGCTACAGTAAGATACATCCTTAAGATTTCAAAAGGAAAAAGTAAAAATATGCATGACTGAAATGATATTTACCATGTACATTTCACTGTCTTTCCATGCAACAAAACTTCGGCTGTTTTCCAGCTGAATCGCACCAAATTTGGATAACCAAACACATGATCAATTGCTCCCAGTAAAAAATTCTTTGTATTCGGATCTAAGATCAGTTATTTATGAGAGAATAGAATAAGCCATTATTCATAGCATGGACATAAAAGTCATAGCATGGACACAAAAGTTATACCTCCAGGATAACCACTCCCATATCCATTCGGCGGTACATTGATAATGCCCTCCGGAAACGTCCAATTTCTTAAAGCTCTGTCACGTTTGACCTAAAATGAATTACAGTAATCAAAAAAGAGTTATCATTTGTTTGAAAAGATAACTCATTTTTTCCTTGTTTAAAGATAAAGATAACTTTCTACAGAAGAAAATGAAACAAAAGAATATGTCGCTCAAACGAATTTTTTTTCTTTTCTATGGCGCCCTATGAAAGACTGTTACAAATGAAAATGATGCGATAGGCTTAAACACAACTTACGACACTAGAGCAGCGAGATATAGCAAATTGTCAATTGGACCCACGAAACAATTATCAGAATATTTAATAAACTTGAAAATGCAGATAACAAGAACTTTCAGCAACTTTAAGTATAGTATTAATCACCAAAATAAGGTTGAACCAAAGTGAAATTTAAATTAATTCAAGACAGAAAGATTACTTTTGCAACGATTGAAGCAGCACTGACAATTGGGAATTTTGCATCCGCCTTTTCCGATACAATAATTTGCATGTCTGGGAATTTCTTGTGCAACATTGCCTGGTACGGACCCTTCGGCCCAACTGTATCTACGTACACCTAAAAAGCGCTAGTGGGAGACTATGCAATTTTCTTGATTATTATATTTCGAGAAACATTCCTAGTGCCATTATATTTAATTTACACGCCCAGGACAGCTTTTTCATATTAGCACCGGTTACAACCAAATGAAATCTTCCAGATTAACCTCCACAACATTAATATTATTGTCGATTGCTAATTTCAGCAATTCCGTCGCACAGTCGTGTGATAATTTATTCAGTGAACATTTCGTTCGACCTAACATGGCAGCGCTAATCATCTGCGCCGATATTGAACAATGCGCATATCCAAATAGCTTAAATAATAGTACTTTACTCTGATTAGTAATACGCTTATTTAAATAAAGACAAAAAAATAGATCCTTCTTTTCATTAATTTATAATAGGGCTGCTAACAACCCTAAAGAAATGCTTACTAAAATTTCGTGAACGAAAATACGGAAGTAACGACAGAACATAAGACAAAGTGCTAAGTGTAACCTCTGACATATTGTCTCCTTCCATTCTTTCGAAAATCTTTTCACGCTTTGCTTCTGTTAGAACCTTTGAATCGTCAACCCCTGTAATAAAAATGGCTTGAAGAAGAGTGCGCTTAATTAAAAGAAAGAAAAATTGACAACAGAGTCTTTTGCTTTAAATCAGAGTCATTATCGAACATCTACATGCGCGTCACAGAAAATCTACAACGATTTCCATATGCACAAAGAAGAGTTATCAAGCTACACCGATGTCCTAATTATGTCCTAATTAGTATTATGCTGAAGTGCCCCAAACTCAAAGATCGTGCACAGTAAAAAGTTTCGTACAATGGAACACTGTAATAAAACAAATGAAACAAACAAACCCATCTCAAGCAGTATATTTTCATTATTTACCAACGTAACAGCACATGCGTAGACCATCGGTCCAAGAACTGGTCCACGTCCAGCTTCATCAATGCCCACTACACAGGGCATGCTTGAACCAAAATCCTTGAAATTATTACTGGATTCCATAACTGCCTCGACAGCTGTTGATTTAACCTGCGTATTGGTCATCTTCCCAAAAATGTCCTAGATGGCGGAGAAATCTGTGAATCTACGAGGGAATGACACTTGTTTTACTGAATTCAATTGTTCGCAAAATATAGCACTAAATAGTATAATGTACAGAAGATCATCCCAAACTAAGGTTTTACACGTTTCACATTACCTTTGTATTATGGAAGGACTCTTAATTTCACATTTTCATCCACCAATGCTGAACAATTTGCAGTTACCCTTTAGTTCTATAATATCCTGTTAGTTTCAACAACTTTTAAACAAAACTACCTCCTAAAGATCCAAAACTGCAAAACAACTGAAAAAAGAAAGACAATTTATTTCCTTACTTCGCATTTCTAAAAAAAGTCGAAATAAATAATTGATTAGAAGCAAAAAGAGATAAGTAGATACAAAAATATCGAAATGACTGACGATGGTTTCAAAGCATTCAAAGCATATATTGAAAATGCGAACAATTTATTAACAGTGCAAAAAAACGGTACACAAAACTGCACAACTATTGTATAGATTAAAATGAAGCTAATCTACAAACATTTTCATTTTACAGATTTTATGTAGATAAATTTAAGTTCTACGTCCCTGACTGAAGGTACAAATTAAAAAAATCTTCCCATCTTGGAATAACTAGGTATTTAATATCAAATGTTAACCTTCTAATCTGCGCCTTAGCTGTTCATTTTCATAGCAAGCCTGCAAAGATAAGAGATGAAAAGCTGAAAAAGCGAAACAAACGAACAATTAAATGGTTTTAACTAATTTCAGCAAAAAGCATGAAAATTTAATCCAGAATTGCTTCATCACAAAGACTAAAAGCTACTAGTAATAGAAGAACGAAACTCTTGGGTAAAGGAAACTCAATATCCGGGACAATAAAAAAACGGGAAGAAATTTCAGACATCATTCATCCAATATTTCAAAACTTCATATCCAACTGACATCTATGCTGGCCAAAAGAAAAAATCACTTGAAATAATGTTTCAATTTCCCACATTTTTTTTCAGATCCTCAGACTTAAGGACAAGCAGTGATTTACAATAGAGGATTACAGAAGAAGAGGGAACTAACATTTTTGAAATCATCAACTGTTTTATAATACAAGCGTTCTTTTTCCAACAAATATTGATATTCTCCATATAATTTGTCCCTTCTTGCTTGCAGTTCATTTTGCTTCGTTGATACCTACGGAGATATTCTATGTAAGAAAAATTAAATAAACTGCCCCAAAACCAACATATTTTAGAAACAAGAATACTATCAGCATTCTTTTTTTGTAAATGTTTTCTTTACGGAGTATCATTTTTGATTATAAAGTTTTAAAAATTTATACACGCAGAAATTCAGTATATAAAATCAATTCAAATAGTGATAGCAAACCTTATCAAGAGAAGTATCAACACCTTTCAATATTTTTTGCAAATTCTCAACAAATGAATCTTTGTAGCTTTGTTTCGATGTCCTACAATGTAAAAATTGACTTATTAAGATTACTCATAATGACTTCTAAGCTTAGGCTTACGAATTCTTTAATCCACAAATGTGAGATTTATAAGTGAAAATAACCGAAAAGTTACAAGTCTTGGACTTCATCGATATTGTTCAGCATGTCAACTTCCTTTTTCATGAATGTTTTAATATCAACCAAAGTATTATGCAAAATGTAAAACTGCTTCGTTTCTCGATGTTTACTTGCCACTAAAATTTTCAAAATCATCCGTAAGGAATATTTGAAAAAGTCTGCCATACAGCTTGTAGTCAAAATTTGCAAAGCACAAAAACATATGTTAAATCTAATTGAGATAAAAGCAGTAAATGGCTGCTAGCAAAGTCCATTTTTTCAAAATAGTTTTTAGAACTTTGCTCAAATCACAAACTCTGATTATAAAGCTCGATAATTCTCCGCTGATATTGACTGATTTCAGTTTGCGCCGGGATATCATCAAGCACGCGTTGCTGTGCTGCAATCTGTCGATTTAAATCTGCTAACTCCAACCGAATACTTGTTAGATGTTGCCCTGCTTCTAAGCTTATATTTCTCACCGAATCGTTATCATCTTTCAACTGAAAAATGTATGCTGCCTTCTAATTTCTGGAGATAATACAATAGTCGAAAATGTACACAATCGAGCTACCAATTTAGCATGAAACAGCATAAATTTTACTCTATGTGGCGATCCTCAACCAATGCTTGTAGAAATTTTCAGAAAACTTTACTTTTTTCTCCACAGGGTCAAATGTTTTTAGTTGCTGAAGAACCTCATCCAGTTCCCGTAGCTCATTTCGACAGTTTGCTTTGAAATCCATTTCTCGTTTATGAATCTCATCATGCTCAATCAGCAGATGTTTCAACCTTTCTACAGTTCTGAAAAGGAATCTAGATAAGAGCTGTAAACGGTTATGAATAATTCAGAGATTGATAAAATGGAAAGAAGGAACCTGGAAAAATGATACAGCTGATACACGACAAATTTTTAAATATTTGCATCTTACTCTACACCACTGTTTTCAACCAGTTGTTTAAATTCTGCAATTCTTTTGTCGATTTCATCCATTGCTCGTAGTTGGGCCTCCTTCCGCTGTTGGAGATTTTCTAAAGAGTCATCCAAAAGCTTCTCTTCTTTTCTAAGCTAAAAATAAAAATAAAAAGAACGATAATTTGATAATTTTTTATAACATAATAATTTTTAATTTTATAATTTAGTAATTTTTACCCGACAATTTTTTTATTTGTTCTGAATCTTATTCAACCACTCCAACCTCGCTACTATAAACTAGTAGAAAACTTACTACCATTAATTCTTTTTCTGCCATGGACGTGCTCCGCTGATATCGTTGGACAAAACCGGTCTAGAAATATTTTTGATGGAAAAAATTTAAGTGATAGGTAGAAGTAATAAATCCAAAAAATTTGAATACAAACATATGCCTTGAAAAATACCTCCTTCTTTAGCTCATCAGCATCAAAATCTGATGCATCAATGATCTGAGCTAGTATTTTCGATGATAGACGTTGGTTTGTTGGCTGAATTTGCATCTCTGATAACTGCACGAGAAGCTGATCGCTCTTCTGTAACCCAACACCATTAGCCTTTTTGTCTGTTAAGTGGATAACGAATGCTCATTCAATCTGTAACCACAGTGTGAACACTCACAGATCTCAGTTGTGCTAGGACACAAGTAATAAATTTAAATTATTCGAATTGTAATTCCACAAGAAATTGAAATCCCTAACAAATCCCTAATATTTCAAACACCCACTCAGTAATAAAAATCTTCAATACCACAAGATCCAGCATGTTAGTAAATGGAAAATATAAATGTCCAGTTTTACCATATTTTCATCGCCTTTGTCATTTTCAAACCATTCAGTGTTTTCCTGAACTGCGATATCACAGACATCTCTCCTGCATTAGCTCACTATTAAAACCACTGATGCATGTGTTAACACCATGAAAATATAACATTATAAAAAAGTTATGCTATATTGATTTGTCAAAATTTTCAAAATGATCCAACGAACCAGCCGTATTCCAGTAAAGTACAACGAACATCGGTGCGCAAATCCGGTGATTTGAAATCGCCCTTTTGTTTATAAATGCGTTGAGGTAGACATTTCGCTTTGACGCTGCGGCAATTGTTTAAAAAAATATGTGTTTGTTTCTCTATGCATTTATCCTGAAAGCTACATATGCAAAACATCAATAGTCGCACTGTTTGAAAACCATTTCAAAAAAAAAGTCTTGGAGAAACAATTCAAAAAAATAAAGAAAAAACCTTTGAAAAATAGAATCGTTGTGCGAACTGATATACGGCATGATTTCGCACACTATCACCACACTGCTCTTTCGCACGAACAGCTTCTCTAACAAGCCACTAAATATTTAGATCTAATTAACTTTCGAGAAATAATTAACTTTCACTTGTTAACAGAATGACGAATTATAATGCTTTCTTGAACAGCTGTTGATATTTTGCCGAATTTTGATTTTTACAATCTCTGTTAATAGCCTTGTCATTTTATGGCTTAACCTGCAAATGCAAAAATGAAGAAATTTACCTGGACGACAGGAAAGATGTGGATGCAGTCAAGACCCTGAATTTGATATGGTTCAATAGTATAGGGACATTTTAACAGTGGTAACACTTCCACTACCTTTTCAGTTAACGCTCTGAAAGAAGCTAAATTTAGACGAGAGCATGGTTTTTTAATAAATGTTGCGTGATTTCTAACTTCAAAAATTGATGACTTTCATTTCATCACTATAAAAACGCATTTGAAGGTGTATCAGTAGGATTTTCTAATCAGAGCTGCAAAAGATATTTTAGGTAGTAAATAATCTCAAAATACTAACATCTTCTGACCAATAGTAGCATTTTCAGAGCAAAAAAGATCGACATTGACTGTATGATTGCATAATGTTATACACCACACTATTCCACCTACTACCTGCAAATTAAAGCATTTCTGCGCGGTTACAGTCCATATTCTACTTCAGTACGTCCGGAAAATTCAAATTGAAAAATCCTATAAGGATTTTCTAAATACACTGAAAACGCTCCAATCTAGTACATTAAAAAGTGACATCTCAGACAACAAGTTTATTTCGCAGATTTATAGAAACTCTTCATTTTCAACACAGCTGGCTACTAAAGTTTTGGGATTTCCAAAACCTAAAGCTTTAAAAAGAAAAAAAATCAAATAAATACCAAATATTTCATCTTGCATTTACAGAAATTGTTTACTTTATTAAAGCAGTTTAAACCTATATTACAAAATGATTTTAAAAAATCTGGAAACCGCCACAAATACCTTTTTATACTAAGTGGAAACCTATTTAATATAAATTTAAAGTGACTTTTCAAGCTTTAAGATGGTTTTAAAATGTTGTATCGAAAAATCAATTCCGTAAACCCTATCGAAATGAGGAATTGATTTGATCCGAGCTCGAAAATATCCAGCAGCAACGAATAAGTCGATGATATCTTGCAATTTTGCTAGCTGTTCCTCGTCTTCACGTATGTCAAACTGTAATTTAAAATCGGTAGCAGTGATCTGTTCACTTCATATATCAACCTGAGTCCGATTTTGAGCGATTAGGTATTTTCTAAAAGCTAATTGTTATACAGCAAATTCGGGAAAAGAAGAGGGATAACGCTGGCTGCGTTTCAATCTTATAGCTCCGTTTTAAATGTTTCAAGTTCATGTTTAGTTCACTATATTGCGTCTGCATAAACTGAAGATGAAAAAACAGTGAAGCCATGAAAGAGTTCAGATTATGTAGAAGAATGGAAATAATGGCCTTACTTCTTTAACAGAAATCATACTGAAACCAGTGACTTTTACAACAAAGCGAGATGTAATCCTTGCAATAAATAAAGGAGAAAATCTGAAATATGCTTAAATTAAGAACTTTTGTTATCCATCAAAGAGCGCTCGAGAAAATCGCATCGTAGGAGAAATCGAATTGATGATTTGATCGCACAGTGCAAACGGATGTTGTACCTGTTTTTATTCAAAGTAAGACAAGGTGGAGCAATCTAATGAGTAAGATGTGAGGCCTAATTTCATGGAACCAAGGAGACATTCAGCAACAGGCACTTCCATCTAGTAGCTTTTAACGCGGTCCTGTCTCACTTCTGGCTTCATACCATCTATAATATCTTCTGCTACTTTGCAAGTGTAGGCATGAGAAAGTTTGGCATGGTACTTTCTGGGCAGGATGGTTGTTACAGTGGATGGAAGTGAAGATAGACTTACTTGCCTTTACTTGTAACCATGCGCATGAACCACTGACCATTACATGGCATGGAGAATTATGTGGCACTTTTCTTCGGTAATCCTTTGTAAGGTTCGATGTTTCTACAGTTGTTCGTAAAAGTGATGTAAGAAAAGTATGAGCACTGAGTTTGAAGTGCACGGTCAGATGTATTCATTTGTAGAGATTATTTCCATCAATTCATGGCAATCAAAATTGGACAGAACAAATCATTGACCAGTTTTTGATGGTTACAGGTTCAATGCGATGATTAAATTTATGAAGAAGTCTGAAAAGTTGCGCTTCGCAAACAACCACATCCCTTATATTTCTAGTGTGGATAGCAGATGAAATTTGAAGCATCGGTATCATGCCTTTTTATTTTGTGTTTATTACCAGTGAAGTGGAGTAAAATGTTACACATGTCCTACTATCTATGCAATACTTGGCCCATCTTGAAAAGTAATTGCAAACAAGGAGCAAAAATTTGGAAAAAATGATGAAATAAATTGAAGGATTTGTTGTGACTATTATTATTTTTCTCTGTTTATTGGAAATCTGTCTCTTTTTTCAGATACTAATTTGAAAAAAATACATACATGATATGACATGTACATGGCAGTGTCTATCCATTCCACAATTCATTCCCACCAATTTTTTCTGCTTAAGCTTATCCCTAAAGTAATCATTCCCACGAAGTAAATGGAATAATGATTAGTGCTGAAATGCTGAGATGACGAATACTGATGACCTTTCCCTTTATTGTTATAACAGAGTTTTTAGATTTTTGCATATATTAAATGTCGATTTGTAATTAATATTCTCTCCAGTAGTAGCATAGATGCTTCTTCATTATCTTCTAGACGGAAACAATCTGAAATAGTGAGAGTCCTTCACTTGTTTTGCAGCAGACATAGCTGTCATAACCAGTTTATCTAGTTTTGATAATGCTAGCCGTGAAAATAGATTTTGTCCAAAAGGAATATTCGCTTAAGAACATAGTTTTTGGCATACACTTCAAGGATTCTCAGCATATAATGAAGCTCTTATTAAATCTTATATGTGTGGTAGCGGTAGTACCATAAAAAAATTTTTAATGTTTTTAATTTAGGGCTGCGGCGGTAGCAATTGAAAGTACAAATTATTAGATGGCTTCATGGTAGCACTGCAGTATGTTGAGAAGTTAATTAAAATTCAGGTTAACATGGAGCTTTGATTATTGCATCTGTGTGGTACAACATCAGCTATTCATTTTAATTCAATTTTTGATCGGTCAACCTATTAGTTAGTTCATGGTTGAAGAAGACTGATGTAATATTTATTGCTTTGCCTGCTGGTAATGCTTGGTAATTCTACTTCCCATTTAAGACTTATAATTTTAGTTACGATTATGGCAATCTCGTTATTGAAATTTGAAGCACTTTCTTATAAGCATCTCCTTAATCAGTTCATTTAAGAACTAATCGCAGTTCTTTAAATCAAACTTATTCATTTCAAAAGAGGACACTTTTTATTTCAATTTTTTTTACTTCTTTTTTCAATTTCGCGCATTTCTTTTTTCTTCTTTCTCTCTTCCAGCTGTCCAGAATTTCTTTCGATTGCTTACACATTATCGTACTAGCAAGTGTTAAATATCAAGTTATTTTTTCTCGGGTTCCCTTCAGAAAGGTTTATATTGCACCATCTTGAACTTAGATTGATGGGCCAAAAAATCTTTCAGACTGAATATTTCTTATAATTCAGCTGTTCGCCAGTATTTATTGTCGTGAAACAAGTAGCCATTTTTTACAGTTAAGATCTTTGTTACAAAAGCGAAACTTTTTTCCTGGTACCCACACTCCCCTACCCAAATAATTTATTATGTCTTTGGCCTTCCAAAACAATCATGTTTTTTGTAACCACTGCACTTAATCTTTGTTATGGAAAAATTGTTCATTGCAAAATATAAGTTCCTCATTTCTACACTATTTTCGATCTTCTTAAAATGAAAAATCTTTTATCTTCTTTCTTATCTTTTATCCTCTTTCTTTTATTGTTTTCATTTGAATGCCTGTTTTTTTTTCTTTTTTTTTTTGAGTTTTTTGTTTTTGAATGCCTGTTTCCAGTCAGTCCTAGTCTTTTTTGTGACCAGTGCGTTGTTTGGATAATCAACGAAAAGATCAAGTAAAAAAATAAGTTGATTATTTTAAGTAATTGTTTCATATTTCGACTCAGTAATCGTTGATGAAAACTTCAGTTTCCTTCTGTAATTATTGATCAAGAAGAATAAAGTAAAATAACAAAAGACAATAATATTTATCCACTTCCCAACTAAAGATAAATTTTATTAGGGTGAATTTGTTCATTCGAGTAGTATTTTTGACTATTGGATATATGGAGGTACAATTTCGTGAAGTATCAAATGGCTGTAATCATTGTTTGGTTAGCTTAGCTGTCCAAATATCTCGCTATCTGTCACTTTGATCCTTTAATACTCGGGGAAATTTTATTATTTGCTTCTTATATAGCCTGAAATGTTTTGCCTATTGGTTAAATTCCATTCATTTTGCAAACTGAAGAAGTTTGGTCGATTGCTTCGAATTTCATTCGCTCAAATTCTTTTTCTTACTGAATGTTGACAAGACAAACTACTGAATTGACCACAATTCAATTGTCCAAATAAAAAGCTGTTTCCCTGAAATATCCTGAAACACCTCCTAATATGAAACATTTCAAGTAAAACTTCCCAAAAATCAATTTGCAGAAAAAACTTGCATCCATCTTAACATGCGGAAAATAATTTTATTTGTTGACCAAAATATGCAAGCTAATTATGCCAATAATTTTTGCTAAGCTCGATTTTGGTCATATATTGCCATAAAAGCTTCTGTCTTGTAAATAAACAGCAGCTGTTAGCATATTTTAAGCAAAGGCAACATTCCATATTTGAAGTTAAATGCTATTTTTGGAGATAGCATGAATGAAGTATGAAACTCAACTTATATTTCATTTTTAGACTCGACTAAAATGAAAAAGAGAAATGACCGAAGGTCACACATACCAAAACTCATTCATTTAATTTGATTACCGATTATAAACAAGCATTTACTTTTCGTTCTTCAAATATCTTGAAGGGAGGTCAAAACCTTAGCAATGAAGTACTGTATTCTTCAAAACATATTCGGTTGCCAGTACGATTACTTTCTGCCTTTTCTCCATTATTAATTTGTTGATCTTTCCGTTCTACGCTAACTCTTTTAATAGTTCATCAAAGGTGTTACGTATCCTCGCGGTAAATAACTATCCTTTTTTGAATCTGAAGTGCCAAATCCTGCTACTAAATGCCTACTTCGTAATAAAACTTGTTATTAAATGATTCAAGTTTCATCAAGTTTTAAATTTTGGTTTTCAAGTTTTGTAACTTATGCGTTGCACTTGTTTATTGCAGCGCTAATGTCAATCTTTTGGTATTTCTTTTTAATATTTTAACAGAAACAGTCCTCTTCTTTTGTCTCGTCTTCAAGTAAAATCTATTGTCTAAGTTATTTTAATTGAAACTTCCTAATTCAACATCTTATCCTTCAGTTACCTTCTCCCACTTTTGTCTTTAAATAAATTACCGCTATTTCTAAATATTTGTACTTTCTGATCTCTTTCATATTTGCATTATCACTTCCAACTTCTTTTTTTTTCTTTTTTTAATTTCATGCCACAAGCCTAAAGATCATAGAAGAGAACGCAACATATCTCCTCGATCGATTCTCTTTTCTTAATTTCGAAACCATTCATTAATTCTTATCTTGCCCTAGCATATTTTTGTGCTTAAACTATCAGACTTGCAAATGTTGATTTTCTGCACGATCGTGTCATTCCAAACGCTTTGCGCTATGTGATTAGCATTTCAAGAATGCGTTGCTGAATGCCTTTGCTTGTACGCAAAAATGCAATTCAAAATGAGTTAATGCATTCAAATTTAATTATGCTAAAAGCACATCCATTTTTATGTATATTATATTATATTTTATATATATATATATGAATGAATTCATGATGATTTTCTGAAAGCGCATTTAGGCTACAATGATAAGTTGCTATCAGTTTCTGAAACTGTAGAAATTGGAATGGTCAGCATTTCAGGCGACAACATTGGTTTTAGGAATATTTCTTGTTAAGTAAAACAAATATGCGGATTGGAGATTTTTTTACCTAAATTTCATTAGTTTCAACTCATCGGGTTTCACAGAACATCGAGAAACACTTGAATGTTTAATAAAATGGAAGGACCAAGTTTTCATTATTTGTCTTGATTTCAATCCAGTTTGAATTCTAAGTGTTCCTTACTCTATTATTAAACTCAAACTAGACCCAGAAAATATTCAGCCGCAGGTGTGTGTGTGCGAAATAATTTAAATCTATCAATGCAGTTTCAAAGTTTTAGAGCTTGGAATTGAATTTATAACTAAAATCTTTCATGGTATTTTACGCTCCGTAATCATTTGCAAACCGTCACAACCGCTCTTTTGTGACATTTCTCGTTTATATTACACCGTTGTATCAGAAAAAAGACTAACTTCTCTTTTTTTCGCTTGACCAACTTTTTCCTTCCACTTCTACAAAGGATTACATTCTTAATTTGCTCATTATAAGAGCCATCAAACCTTTTTCTCATTTGTGATTGCTAATATTTATCCATAATTTCTCAGCGTGTTTTAGAAAGCAAATGCTATTAATGTTTAATGTGTTCGCAGCCATTTTTCCATGTTCTTTATAGAAGAAAAAGAAAGACTCAAATCGTCACTGTTTAATTGTTTATTATTTCGAAATTTTTTTAGACTAAATTATACTGTTAATGGACATGAATGTCTATAGAAGGCTGCAAAAAATGCACATCACTTGCAGATATATCGAAGGATAACGACGTCCCCTCAAGTGCATACCTTATATTCACTGCTTACAATATTAATAATAGCTTTGTGAGCATTTGTATTCTAAAAAAAGCAAAAATAACAGTGAAATTAATTTATCATTCTTTCATCTCATTTCTTAGAATTTATCACTGCAAATAAGATCATAACTGGAAGTTTAACGAACAGATTAATTAAATAAATGTGAAACGATTGATGTTGTAAACATCAATCAAGCAAGTTTACCTGAAATGCTACTGCTGCATTGGATGGAGAACGTATCTAGGCAATTCTACTTCGATAATTGCATATTTATTCGAGAAGCCTAGCATAATTCAATATATTGAATGAATTATAATCACATAATCAAATGCGAATTTTAATGACATTTCGTTCAATGATATATTCCAGAAATTCTGGATGTGTGTATAATTTATTGTTCCATCATAATAATCCTTTGGCAGACAAAATGTCGCCACATGATTGTCCGACAAATGACAATCCTCTAAGGACAATTCTATGATTTGTTGCTGACTGGCAAGTCTGATAGTTAAAGTAAATCTCATAAATATGCTAAAATATACTCATAAAATTGCTTCGTGTGTTAAACATCCATTCTCTCTTGCATTTGTTTCTCTGTTATCCATTTTAATTTCCAGACATTTCCTTAGAAAGTGGAATATTAATTACACGGGCCTTTCTAATTGTTATAAGATACTTTGCAGTTTACCCTGTAAGGAGACATTTACTAAATCATTCAATCTGTTTGAAACAGTATTAATGACTCACTTTTTATTTGTCCTTTTTTAATTTCTTGGACTTCATCGAAGATTTTTTTTCAATCATTTTCATCTAACAATCAAATTTAATTGCATTTTTCATTTGTAACTAAAGAACTTTTCCTTTTCCTCTCTCTCTCTCTCCACAAATATTTGGCTGTTGACGATTGTGATCGCAATGCAATCAGAAAGATAGCGCTTGAAATGGCTAGCTCATTGCTGTGCAATTGATTGACTTCCTGGGAAGTATTGAAATCTTTCTTGGAATTATCACAACTTTGTTTGATTTGAATGAATAGTTCGTAGACCCAAAAGTTTCTTCGTCCACTTTGCAGATCTGAGACAAAAGGTTCCGGACTACGATAAGGCTTCGATTTTAACCGAAGATGAATCAAGAATGAATCATTTTTTTAAACTACATTTTTCCACTACATTTACACAATTAATTATATCCCAAATTGTCTTCATTGAATATACAACTGATTGATGCACATTGTGAATCAGCAAGCCTAAGGCTTCAACGTTCTTTCACTTCAAGCCTGAAGCTTCAACTTTCATAAGCCATATTCGGTTTCTATTTCCCTATTTAATATTTTTCAGTCAGTCTTACTTCCACCGGAGCTCTGAGGATTGACAATAAGTTGCTTACGCTTTGAAGAGATAATAGAACAATTTCCGACATATCATTATGTATCGACTGATCGGATTAATTAAGTTTGCTGAAAGTTTTTACCTTAATTGAAATGATGGTAGAATTATCCACGATATTCAATTCAGACATTCGCTGTAGGAACACGAGAGATAGCATTATATTCAGCAGACTGGAGATGTTGGAAATGAAAGCTATATAGTTTCTGGCCTGAACTATAAGGTCTAGACCATACCCTTACTTGTCGCAGGACGATCCCGCAACAGTAATCTAAGAAATGAAACTGAGTGAATGACCATCGCAAAATTGATTATCTTGTTCAGTGTTTTCCTACCCTAAAGGGATGAAGGTCTTCAAAATACAGGAGGTAAGGAATAAAAGTTGGAAAGACAGTGCTGATAACTAACCTCCTGCTCTAATTGTCATAACTTTCATCCCATCCCTCTTTTTCATCTCTATTCTTTTTGAAAATTGGAAATTAACCGGATATTAGAAAATCCACACAACATTTGTATTTTTTATTTAAAATAATTTCATGGTTTAATCCAGTTCCAGTGACTTATCATAGTTAATGATCAACTGTTAATCTTCACAGGTGCTTGCAAACTAGTTGCTGTGTGCAGTGTGCATTACGTTTACACTGAATTTCATGCAGTTCTGATATTCCATCATCTGACGACAAAAAATCATTTTAGCCTCTATTTTACAATTCCAAATGGCTTTTGAAATTTTTTTTCCAATGAAATTTTTGATTTCTCTGGAGAAGAATAAGCACAAAAATTGCAATTCATGTTCGTGTGAATTTTTTTCTTGAAAAACAATGTTAGCGAAGCTAATATCTTCAGCGATCACATGGGAATTCCTTCCCAGAAACTGCGAAAATACCAAAAGACTAAACGAACGACAAAGAATTTCATTTCCAAACACAAAATCATCGTCTCAGGATCATGGAAAATTCGAGAATTTATATTCTTGTACTAGGAAAAAAAAGCGAGGTGAACTTCACATTAACCTGCTGCATATTCTCGGTTTCTTTCTGTTGGTCATCTTTGACCAAGAACAGCTTCTTCAGTTGTTGATTGGTGATAAATTAAACATAAAATTGATGATGAATTTAGATTCCACATTATACTGCTGTTCAGTATATTTTCTGATCATATTTTAAGGGTTGACTGGGGCCTCTCCTTTAAATTCTTTATCTATCATCATCTATTTAACTTATGATTTTCTTGAACCTTAGCTTATTTATGAGCGTTGTAGCTCTCTTTCTGAATTTTGCAAAGATGAGAAGATGGAAGAATTACTATATGGAACTAAAGAAGTGATAAAGATTAGTTCAATCTTAGTTTAGCTTTATTTTATTTATATATTCTTCATTTATGATCATCGCATACAAGAACTACGATAAGCAATCGTCGTCTCTATCACCCCTGTTGATTTTCCTTTTTCACTTATCCTTCCGAAATTAGTCACATTTAAAAGACAAGTTATCTTATTTGAAAGTAATCTAAGATTCAAGGAGATCGTGGGTTTAAAGGGGGGTTAGATGAAGAGTCACTTTTTCAAAAAAAAACACAATATCTCAGAATAGTTCATTTTACTTTAAAATTAATTTCTCATTATTTACTACGATCTGATCATTTTAATTATTTTGGCTATAGTCTGTTAGAAAAACCGCCGGAAATACGCAAAGTGTTCCGATACGATCTCCTTCATGTTAATTTCATGAATTTATTAATGTGCTTTTTCTGTTTACACCTTGTAATCAATTCAGCATCATTAATTCTCGATTTTTATTACTTCTCTCTTTGCATGTCACTGTGTGATGAATGTCGTAGGCCAGAAATTATGTGTTTACTCTTTGTACCTTTCAATTTAATTCAAATTTCATTCTTTCAAGCGATTTATTGCTTTGTCTTTGTACATGTAACCAATGAATTTAGCTTTCCTGAAATAGTTCATTCCGATTAATGTTCAAATACTCTTCCCTTCTCCAGAGGAATCGCTCAATTTCAGTTAATCAGCACATGCCCTAACAAATTTCTTTTTCTCTACAGTAGTAGTGATGGATTCATTCACTAATTTGCCATTACAACTCTTCTGTATTAACTGTAACTAAAAATAGTAATAAAGCGTCGAAATGATAAGTTATGAGCTGTAATAAGGAGTTTACTTCTAATGGGATGAAACTACGAAGTAAGTTAGATAAGTTGAAGAAAAAAAAGTCATAAATATTGATAATAAATGAACAAATGTAGTATTTATTGCTTAGTAGTCTACAGAAACAGGACAAGTTTCCTTTTTGTTTTCTGAGAGATTTGAAGACTTAAAATGAAGTATCACCACAAAAATTTTGATAAATCTCTTCTTTAGCTTATCATATCAATATATTAAAGATAATAATAATGCTAACTGCCGAAGTCATATATGCGAAATCAGTTGATCAAAATTTACGACAGAATGATTTGGAAGTAATTAGCATTCTCCACTTTTAAAATTTTTTTAATATTGAATTAAATGAAACTTGAATGCTTCGCGTATTTAAATGTTCTATACCTTATAAGTGAAAGAGAGCATGATAAATGAAGCCTTTTTCAGGATGTGAAGTGATAGTGATAGAGTAGCGCTACTTTGTTAATGCTGACATCCTTTTTTGTGATAGCTCATTGTGCGCTTGTTCAAAATGCAATGTCCTTCCTTGCACTAACCGATGATTTCGAACTAGATCGGCAACTTCCAAGTGTTACGTGTCGACAGTGTATTCAACTATGGCACATGCTTGCCAAAGATTCTCGTTCTATATGTGGACCGCATTCACGTACTTGTACGGGAAACGTTTGCTTTATGAGTATGTTGAAACTTTTTAGAGTAATCCTTGAAATAAATTTCATCATTTATAGTATTGCTTTATAAGTGCATTTACCAATTGCACCGTTAGATTGAAAACATAAATTTTTATCTCCAAAAAAAGAAGGTGATGAAAAAATAAAACAAATTGCATATTTCCAGAAAGTTCTCGTTTGAAATAATCGTACCGCCTCAAAAAACTTTATTATAAAAGCTCCTCTATCACAGATTTATTACTGGTCGTTATTCCACTCTTTCTTCTTGAAATACTCTTGAAATACTTGAAATACTTTTCCTATCTTAAAGTACTTTTTTTCCTTTTCAAAAACTTAGAATTTGATGTTACAAGTATAAGTGAAACTTGAGACCTTCCCTGAATTTTGCACTGGTTTCCACTAAATTTGTACTTCACCTCTTACCAAGACATGCGTTTCCAAACAAAATTAAACTTTAATAATCTTCAGTGCTTTTGGAAAGAAAAAGCGACAGATGAGATTTTTAAGTACCAGCGCTTGTCTAAAACTCTTAATATACTTTCATAATTCTGATTAAAGGAAGTCATTTTGAGAAAAACCTTAAACTCAATATTTTTAATTGATAAGATCTTTGATAACCCTTCATAATATTCCTAATTGATAAGGTATTTGGCATGAAGTGAATATTCGAAACATCAAGTGACATAGCACATTAAAAGAAAAAGATAATTGTACTGTTGTGTCTTAAAACATCAAAGTTCTCCTATCAATTTGATAAAATAAGAAAAGAATGATAAGTATTTCAGCCAAATAAAAAATGGCTTGTAGGATGGATCTAAAGTGAACAGTAAAAGGCCCCATATAATAATATATTTCAGGACAGTGTAAGAATTGTCCGGTGTATCAATATATGGCCGGTTGTTTAACATTAACTGACTGGCAGCTCACCGATTTAACATTTTCACGACAACGTGCCGAACTGCTTGCGACACGTGTAGGAGCTACGCTTCTTTGCGAAGATTCCGTGAATCAGACGACTTGTATTTGCAATCGTAAAAATAAGTGCAATGATATTCATGCGCGGGCACCATTTTCCACGTACAGCGGTAGGTCTTCGATATCTGGGTTCTACTGGTTAGAATTGAACTGTACTACAGAATATGAAAAATTGAAGATGCGCACTATCATCACCAAGATTAGAATTACAAGAATGTTCTAGAGTTAGCTTATGATCCAGTCTAAACCAAAAAGATTAATACAAAACACACATGTTAATTTTCACCTATCAATTGTAAAATAAATGCGTTTATGATAGTTTATTAATTATTGCTAAAATTGAATAGCCTTCGAATTCTTAAGTCGTTAGCATCAGTAATTCCACTGTCCACTTTAATATACGAAATTTCCAGCACCACTCTTCGGTGGTATTATAAATTTTGACGCGGTGATCGCCAAAATCGATCCATATTATAATGACGTTATCCGGTCAAAGCATTCATCGAGACACTACACAGCTGATATGGCTATTCGCCCAATGTCTATTCAAGCATTCTTTCTAAATTGCTCAGCGCTTTTTCTTTCATTTTTCTTGCCTTTATACAATGGATATTTTGAGGCCTGACTTGGAAATTGGCATAAATTTAAAGATTATAACTACTCCCAAATATTTCTGGTACAAAATAATACAGTAACTCTTAGAATTTTGAATAACACACTAGTCGTGGGTAAGATTTTACTGATACTGTAACTTACGCCTAGCTCATTTTTAAACTTATACAAAAGTATTGGTTATAACATAGGTGAAATCATAATTTATGCCAATAATTTTCAACAATTTGTAGTCACAAATTAAAAATTGCAGAACGAAATGATTTGTTACTATGGAAAAGAGTGATTGTTCTGTTATCGTTTTTCCCATTGTTTTCAATTTTTTTTCTCGCAAATTGAAATCTTTAGCTTTTTTTGATATAAAATCATACTAATTATATTTTGGATTATCCGTGTTGTAAATTTGGAAATTCAGTTTAGCGTAAATTCTTCCTGAAGAAAAAATTTTTTCAATGCTATTTGAGAACGTTATGTTTTTCACTTATTGGCTACAATATGCTCTCGTCAATCAAAAACCAACCACTAACTATAAGCGTGAGAAAAGTGTAATCCTTAATATTTTAATGCTTTATTTTTCATCTATTACATTACATTACCTTTTATATAATGAACTATGGGATATTCGGAAATTTATGAAACGAAATGAACTTTTATTTCTCTTAAGGCATGGTATTTGTAACTTGACACTTCGCATTTGCAATTACAATCACATAATTCTAACAGACAATTCTAACTTTTTGAAGGATATACCGATGAATTCTTTGTACCTAACTGATTGATCTTCATGTTATTTCAGCTAATTATATTCCCGTCAGTCAGTACTCATTTTCTCTGCGCTCGGTGCAGCAAATATTAAATGAGAATTTATGTCTGTAAAAACTGAAATGGAAAAATGAAAAAGACAGGGGTGAAAAAAGCCGGGATTTCGGCACTTTCTTTTTGCGGTAAGATTTGTTGTTTCACACAGCCTTTGGTTCAAGTTTAAAAGCAGAATCAAGCTAGAATTATATAAAAAAACAAATTTTTGAAATAACTCTTCCCGTTTTCGAATGACAATGCCACTCCTCATGCAGAACACAAACTGGTACAATCTTCACTTGATTTAATCTGTTCGCAATTGCCACCTTTATCTTAATTCAATGAAAACGTTCAAAGATGACAGTTTCCAAAGATTTATAATGAGACACTAACAAGTACTTTCTAAACATAAACAAGGGATCCCTCACGTAAATGATAAAGGATTGAAAGAAGTTGAGATCATAGATTTTCATCATTGAAAATGACTATTTTCCATTTCTGCAGCCGTTTTCTTTTTTGACAACAAAATTAAGAAATTACTAATATCACATTAAAGATGATCTATCCAAAAAAGGTTAAATGAGCATTGTGCTGATAAAATTGTCTATCAAAAAAAGTAATGAGAAAAGTTTTTAAATACAATTTGCATTAACATGATCTGCAAAAGTGATACAATAAATTAACAAGTAATAATTTTGGTAGAAATCAGAACAGCACTCCACAGATATTGAAAAAAGCACGCTAATATATACAATTTTCCATTCTGAAATTCAAACAGTCAGATATTATTATCTGTGGCAGCACAAGAAAATCAACCTGTGGATAAACTGATGTGTCATTATGCGTTGAGGACATAACATTCTCGAAAGCTGATCTGGAAATATAGCAGTAATGATTTTTAACTTTCATAACAACCTAATGACCAAAAGAGGTAATGAGGCTAAAACCAAATTCTAATGACAACAAGTCTGGATTTGCAATATGATTTCCCATTCTTTCTGGAATTTAAACAAATCGAAAAGGATAATGGGAGAGACTTTTAAACAAATAGAAAATAATCTTACTCAGAATCATCAGTTGTTCCGAAAATAGACAATAAATTCTACTTAGAATTGTCACCTGTTTAAAGTCAAAACAGGCTTGAAAATAAAACTGCTTGAAATTTAAATGAAAATTAAAATCGAAATAATATTTTAACATAGTTAAAGAACTGTCGTCAAAGTATCTTTAAAATGAGTTTTTTTCTTTTTTTCAAGTTGGAGAATTTTTTAAAAAAAAGTTCTTTAAAGAATTTTTTTTATAAAGTTAAGCTATAACAAAACGATAGAAAAGTCAGTATAAAGGCAACAATTTTACCAAAAATAAAGCGAAAAGAATTTTCGGTATGAAAAATAACTTGCTTTCTTTAAAGCATCTGCAAATAACTCATGAACTAGACGTCGCGTTTCCATATTATAATCATGTTGAGCCAGTAACACCAAAACGTCGGAATAAAGGCAAAGCGAGGAAAAAACTTCGCGATTGGATATGTAATTCCTTGAAAATTTTATTTTGATATTATCAAAGATTAGATCAAGCAAAGAAAGTATTTCGATTTGCTCCGGCAAGGCATTTCAGAATGTGGAATACTTCGCTGAATTTCCTGTTTCGGGAAACCACTCCAAATATCATCAAAACTGTAGCAACCAATTACCCTACGAAAGCAATTTAAAAATGAAAGTCAAAAGAAAAAAAGCTGCAAACTTACTTGAGCAACTTTTTTGGACTCACTGAACATTTTGATCCTTGCGGCAAAAACACTGACATTATTTCATCCCTTGCTTCACTCGGTACTTCAAATTCCGAGAAATCTGTAACCAAAAAATTAATAAATTACTTAGAAAAACAGATCAATACTCATACCTTACTTGATTCAGAATTTAGTTTATTCCAAAAATTTGAACAAATTAATGATCATGCATCAACTAAGGTGCATTTCCACGGAGCATTAGTGATCGATTTACATAAAAAGCCACTTATATACTGAATTTTTCTTATCTTTTATATTTAAAGAACATAGAGTACACAGTGCAAAAAGGAAAACTTCTAATATCAGCAAAATGGACGAGTTGTTTAATGAAATTTCCTTATATATTATACAGCAAATCCGGTAAAGTTAGGAAATATATTAGGTGAACAAAGAGGGATCAAATATTGAAACAATAACTAAAAAATTATGGATTCAAACATTTTTGAAGAATCCCGGCGATAGTTTGAAAAGTTCAAAAAATGAAGTCTGAAGTCTAATGAACAAACTTTTACTGCCGAAATATTCCTCAGGCCATGAGCAGTAAAAGCAATTACTGATGCGATGTTCCCGTTTAAAAAGTGATGAATGACAGTTGTGTTCAGTGAAATCTTCATCAACAAATATATCCTACAACTTATCACAACTTTTTTGGACTGTATATGGTCTATAGCGTCCTCTAATATTGCATATTACTAATAGCTTTTTTAACTCGACTGAATGAACTTAATACAGAATTAGAAACTACTAAGTTATCCTTCGGTCAACATCTCAGTAATACTGAGAGTTAAAACTGAGAGTTAAAACTGAGAGTTAAAATTCAAAGTAGTTTTTGATTACTTCGCAAAAGACCAGAAAGGGAAAGGAATAAAAAGCATGAAACGACGACTGACCTTAAAAAAAAGATCAGGACTACGTGGGAGTGATATGG